GCCAGACTTTGATTCTCATACATATGATCAAGAGGGACCAGTCCATGGAGAAGGACATCAGGCTTGTAAAGTGGAGGATCAGTGATAAAAATGAAGACCACTGATGAGATGGATTGGCATTGAGCAGCAATGGGCTCAAGCATAGCAACGATTGTGAGGTTGGCGTAGGACCAAGCAGTATTTTGTTCTGTTGTGCATAAGGTCCCTATGAGTCAGTACCAACTTGATGGCACCTAACAACAACAGGCTGGAGTTGTTCACAGGTAAAAAGCTTCCAGATTTCAGGCTCTACAGCAGACAGGAAAGCCTCTTCTCAACCATGCTCACAGGCAGTATCCTGTCCGTCTCCATGTTCTTCTGTCTCTGCTGCGGCCATTTTTCTACCACTGCTTCTTGTAGACTCTAGTATCGCTCTCCCCATATCCTGGGCTTGAGGAAGTTCTCAGCACAGGAATCCTGGGCCCAAAGGAGATGCTCCACACTCATCTCTTCTTCTTAATGCTTGTGAGATTCGTTTTCCACCTCTGAGATGGCTGGCTCATTTTAAGCGTTGTTGTTGTTGTTAAGTGCCATCAAGTCGGTTCCAACCCATAAGTGACCATGTATAGGGTTTCCAAGGAACAGCTGGTGAGATTGAACTGCCAACCTTGCAGTTCAAAGGACTTTGCAGTCTGGCACATTAACCCACAGTCACACCAGGACTCCCATTTTAAGTGTTGTTGTTATTAGGTGCCATCAAGTTGGTACCGACCCATAGCAACCTTATGTACAGTGGAACAAAAACACTGCCCGGGCCAACCTCACTACTGTTGCCACGCTTGAGTCCATTTAAGTGTTGTTGTTATGTGTCATGGAGTCGGTTCTGACTCTGTACAGGGTTGTGACTCTGTACAGGGTTTCCGAGGCTGTAAATCTTTACCAGAGCAGAAAGCCTCATCTTTCTCCTGCTGAACAGCTGGTAGTTTTGAACTGCTGACCTTGAGGTTCGCAGCCCAATTCGTAATCACTACACTCCTTATTTAAGTGTTGTTGTTGTTGTAAAGTGCTGTCGAGTCAGTTCCGACCCATAGCAACTCTGTAGAGGGTTTCTGAGGAGCAGCTGGTGAGCTTGAACTGCCAATCTTGCAGTTCAGGTGGCTTTGCAGTCTGGCGCATTAACCCACAGCGCCACACCAGGACTCCTTATGTAAATATAGTGGATGGCAAAACTGACCAATCTCCTTGTTAAGGTTCCATACACCTTATTTGCATGGTCCCACCTGGTGTGGTGCTCTAGGTTAATGTGCCAGATTGCAAAGTCGTTTGAATGCAAGGTCGGCTTTGACCCTAGGAAACCCTATACAGGGTCACTATGGGTCGGAATCGACTCGATGGCACTTAACAACAACAACAACCTGGTGTGGCGCTGTGGGTTAATGTACTGGACTGCAAAGCTGTTTGAACTGCAAGGTCGGCGGTTCAAGCTCACCAGTGACTCTTGAACTCCTTGGGTTGCTATGGGTGGGAATCAACTCAACCCTGCAGGACATTAAACAACAGCAACAATCCCCACAGGGGTGTCAAATGTGCTCTATTTGTTTTAGTAGCAAGCTATCAGATGGCCTTGGTAGGTCACATGCACCATATTTGCATAATACCACCCAGCCGTTTGGTGGGGGTTACAAAGATTATAGCTAGACGGGCCATATTAAGTGAATCACAGCACCAACTACAGCAGGTGTCTGTCAACAGACAGATAAATTGTAATCTATCCATACAATGGAATGTGATTTAAAGGAATTTAGTTCTGATACATGCTCATACATGAATGTTCCTTGAAAACATTATGTTCAGTAAGAGTAGTCATAGACTAAAGGAAAAGTATTGTATGATCCCATTAGTGTGAAATACCTAAAATAGGAAATGAGTAGAAACAAGGAAAGTTGATTGGTGGTTTCCAGGGACTGGGATAAAGGGGAAAATGAAGAGTTATTACTCAGTGGAAAGTTTTTGTTGCGGTGATTAAAAAAAAGTTTTAAAAATGAATCGTGGTGTGGGTTGCACAACATTGTGATAAATCAATGCTATTGAATTTTACACTAAAAAATTGAAAATGACAAAATTTATGTTCTGTATATGCTCTAGTTGTGTAGTGGGTTATATGTTGGGCTGCTAAGTGCAAGGTCAGCAGTTCAAATCTACCAATTGCTCCGTGGTAGAAAGATGAGGCTTTCTGTTCCCATAAATATTACAGCCTCAGAAAGCCTATACAGGGTTGCTGTGAGTCAGAACCAACTCCACGGAACAAAACCACCACTGACCACCCATATATATGTTTGTGTGTGTGTGTGAAAATATATATACTAAAACATCTACCAACACAACTTACGCCTTTACAACTCAATGACATGATTACATTTTACCACAGTCAAAAAATAAAAATTAGTTTCACAATTATATTTGGATATAGAAAGTTCCAATAAGAAAGAAAACCTGTGTAATCTCCTTCCTTAGCTCTACCAGCTCCTCACACTCAGGACCCTCATTCATTCATGGGGCTTCTATTGTATTGCAGGTTTTGTTCTAGGATCAGTAGTGAATGAGGTAGACAAAGACTGTTGCCCTGTTCCCTGATCATCTTGCAAGTGTCCACATAGGCCAGTCAGGTGAATTGCAGCTGATCTATGCCTCAAGAAACACCCCGTGATCCTCCCAGAATGTGGGATAAACTCATGAGGAGCAGGACCCACTCCATCCTAGGTACAGTTACAGGCTACATACAGAACTGCCTAGTGCAATGTGGAAGTGACCTCTTGGCATGGGTCCCCTCTTCCCATGTGTGTTGCCCATCCTGGGGGGCAGACACCAAGACCTTTGTCTCTGGAAGGGTCAACCTCAGAATCATTCTTTACCAACTAGTCTGCTGTCTGTGTGATACAACCTCATGGGCCATCATGTCCCATAGATGGTCATGGACTTCTCACTTTAGAAGAGTGTTATGGTTGAACTGTGTCCCATAGATTCTCGTTCAAATCCTAACCCCAATACCTGTGAATATGACCATGTTTAGAAGTAGTGTTTGAAGATGTCATCGGTTAGTTAACATGAATTCATACCTGGAATAAATAGATAGCTGTCATCAAGTCAACTCTGACTCATGTACAACAAAAGGAAGCTTTGCCCAGTCTTGTGTCATCCTTACAACATCCTTACACCAACACATGTGAGTACACTGGTGTAACTGCTGTGTTAATAAGTCTCACCAAGGCTCTGCCTTGCCCCTTTCCAGCCCTGCTTATCATCAAATATTATGTCTTTTTCTAGTGATTGATTCTCCAAAGCAAAAGAATCAGACAATATTCCATTTTAATCCATAAGAGTTTCATTGGCTAGTTTTCAGAAGCAGGTCACCAGGCTTTTCCTTCTAGACTTAGTCTGGAAACTCCACTGAAGCCTGACCATCATGGGTAACCCTGCTGATATTTCAAATACTGGTTATATAACTTCCAACATCACAGCTGCATGCAGCTGCCACATGTCTTGCAAACTGACAGATGGGTGATGGTACTGGAGAAGGTTGCATCCTAATCCCTTCACAATAGTGTCCTTATAAAGAAGAGACACATAGAAAGACAAACAGAAGAAGGATGGATCTGCAAGCCTGGGGGCACTAATAGCTGAGACAAACAAGAAAGGATCTCCCTGTAAAGGTAACACCCTGAATTTGGACTCAGTCACTAGGATTGTGAAATAATAAATTTCTGTTCTTTAAAATCCACCTACTTTGTGGGTTTGAGTTAGGGTTAGGGCAATACAAGACGACTAGAAAATAAAACATTTCATGCTTTGTTAAGTGCTAAGAAGAAAAAAATAGGGTTGGGAACAAAGGTTATGTCCCATAGATGGTCAAGGTTCTCTGTAAGGACCAGAGTGACTGAGATACACAGGGCACAGGAGGCTTGGGGGTGTGACAAGCTCCTCATCCTTTTGCCTGGTGACCCTCCCTTTGGACCTGGCACCTGGAAGGGCTGCACTCTGGGGAATGGGGAGGGGTTGAGGCTCTGTGACCGCCTCTCTGGGGAAGGGGTCCAGGCTTAAGCCTTCAGGACATTCCTGGGGGTTTGGTGGGCTAGAGAGGACCTGGGATTGAAGCACCCCTCATGTGTTACTCCTTGTGGACAGTCACAAGAGGTGGCTGGTAGGGAGGGCCTGCAGGAATCACTGTCCAGCTGAGCTCAACTTCCTCCTCAGCTTAGCCTGGTCTGGACACTGGGCAGTGGCCATGTCCCTGGGATGGGCATAGGAGGGCAGACTCAGGGCCAGTTCTTCCCCATCCATCCCTAGCCCCAGAACCAGGTAACCTTCTCAGAAGGCTGAGCCCCACCCTTCTTTCTCCTGCATAGTCATGCTTCCCTTCTCCCACACCTCCAGATGAGGTGCCTTAATGGCTACTGTCCTAGAACACCCATCCCTCCCTCCATCTTGCTCCTTCCATCTCTCCTAATTCTGTCCCTTACAACCTCCACGGACTTGCCTACAACTCCTTTCCACTACTAGTCTCTCACCAGGTTACCTGCTGGTCTAGAGCATGTGACCAGCACTCTGTCCCTGCCTCATCTGCATGGGAAGGAGGGTCTCACTGCAGCCCTCCAACCCCCACAGGAGAAGCTAGGCTCCAGCACTGAGGTGGCCTGTGGTGTGCCTCATGGCAAGTCGGGACACATCAAAAGTGTGCTCCCTGGGGGAGGTGAGATGGGGGACCTACTGCCCATAGCAGGCATGTTGCTTCTTGTCCTCCACAACCTGCTGCCCTTTGTTACCTGAAAGAGAGGCTGGGCTGGGGGAGGTCAGGGCCTGGCAGGCAGGCAGGGCCTTCCCTTAAGTTGTTGGGTAAACAGTGAGACAGCAGGTGTCAAGCTCTGCTCCCTGAACTTCTGCAGCTCTGAGACCCTGACGTTCCCCCTGAAGCCTTCAGTAGTTTCCTGAGGAAAGGTCACCAGTGTGTCTGGGCCAGAATTTGCATGGAGAGCACCCCTGAAATAGAGAGGGCTTCTGGAGAAAGGACAGAGCCCCAGAGCCCGCTGCCTCTGGAGGTCAGGGTGTGACTGAAGCCCCTTGGCCTGGGGACATTCTGGGCTGGGCTTTTCCGGCCTCTGTCAGCTGCAGGGTTGTACCTGTCGTCCCCAGACTGACCCCCAGCAGGAGCCAGGACAGCAGACCTCTGCGGATGCTGAGAGGGTGTGGGAACTGCGGTGGTTGGAACTAGGCTCTGAGATGGCCCTGGAAGCTGAGAAGGATGGGATCCGTGCCCCGCAGGGCTGGAGTCGCCTGTTCCAGGCCGTGTGGCAGGGCCAAGCGGGCCTGGTGACGCAGTTGCTGCGGCAGGGAGCCAGAGTGGATGAGAGGTGAGCCCTTTCCCTAGACGTTGTGTGTGTATGGAGGGAAGAGACTCTTTTCAGGGCCGGGTGTATACCCCCGGGTAAAATCAGGGTTCTTTCCTCTACGAGGGCGGGGTCCTGTCACCGCGCCCTCGCCCCGCGATCCGATGCGGCCCTTCATCCTGTCTCCAGGGACAGCGCCGGCCGCAGCCCGCTCCACCTGGCAGTGCTGCGCGGCCACGCGCCCCTAGTGCGCCTCCTACTGAGGCGCGGGGCCCCCGCGGGCGTCCAGGACCTAGCGGGGCGCACGCCGCTGCACGAGGCCGCCTGGCCCGGGCACTCGCGACTGGCGGAGCTGCTGCTGCGTCGCGGTGCCACTGCGGCAGCTCGCTGCGGGGCGGGCCTTACGCCACTGCACTGGGCCGCCGCGCTGGGCCGCCCACTGCTAGCCGGCCGTCTGCTGGGCGCGTCAAGCCCGGGCTCCGCGGCGTTGGTGGCCGCGGCGGACGCGCATGGCTGGACGGCGGCGCACTGGGCGGCGGCAGGAGGCCAGCTACCGGTGCTCGAATTGCTGCTGGCGGCGGACAGCGCGGGCCGGGACGGCGCACTGCACGTGGCTGCCGCGGCTGGACAAGGAGCTGCGCTGCGCCTCCTCCTGGCGCGCGGGACGCCAGTGGATGCCCGGGATGGCGCAGGAGCCACCGCGCTCAGCATCGCGGCTGCCCTGGGCAACCCGCAGGTAAGTCCGCCCCTCCCCAGCAAACCTGGACAGGTGTAGGGAGTGAAGGTGCAGGGAGCTTCCTGCAGGTAATGGAGAAGGAGACTGGACCCAAGGCTGGTGGGTTGGAAGGCGCCATCTAGAGCTGGGGAGTGGAGATCAGCCAGGACAGGCCATGAAGGGCAAAGCATACTTCTACTCCTGATGTTCACCATCTGCCTTCTCAAAGGCAGGGAGTAGGGCACTTTGCCTGGTGCTCAGATTTTATTCTTGATCTCCAAGGTGTACTTGGTCCAACCAGAGGAGGCGCAGTTGGGATGGCTGCACAATCTTGGATTTGATCTTACCTCATTTAGGAAGAAAAGTAAAACCTCCAAATAGAGCCTCTCGTGGAGTATTTTAGGCTTGGACTCATTTGCGAGCAAGGAAGGGAAGAGTTGTTCTGAGTCCAGCCAACGCTGCGTAGCTTTATCTGGTCCCACGCTTGGACTAGCTACCTCATCGTCTCTCCTCTTCTCCTCTTCTCTTTCAGGAGGTTGAAGTGCTGCTTAGCCATGGGGCAGACCCTAGCCTTCGGGACAGGCATGGCCGCTCTGCACTCCATAGGGCTGCTGCCGCTGGCCATTTGGCCGTGGTCCAGCTACTGGTAGCCCACAGCGCGGAGTTGGACGCTCAGGACTCACTGAGCTTCACTCCCCTGCACCACGCGGCTCGGGGAGGCCACATGGAGGTCGTCAGCCATCTACTGGACAAGGGTGCACAGATCAATGCTGCAGGCTGGCTCCAAAAGACACCCCTGCACTTCTCTGTGGAGTCACACCATGGTCCCACCACAGAGCTTTTGCTGAGCCGAGGGGCCAGCCCTGCCCTGGTGAAACAGTGGGGTGAGGTGGGCCAAGAAGTGGTGTCTAAGGGGAGTCCTTGCTAGCAGGCACACAACCCCTTGGGGCTCTGAGCTTCTCCACAGCCAGGAAGGGACAAAGGCTCTTGGTGCCACAGCCTTCCTAGTTCACCTTCCTTGTTCTGGGTCTGAGGCTGCCTGCAGGGGTAAGCTGCTGAGAGACTCCTAGAGGAAGGAGCAATAGGACAGAAGAGGTGGCTGCAGCATCCTGATCTCTTGGACATAGACTTGGGAGCAGACAGTCTACAGCTCTGTGGGAGTGGCCATCCCCACTACAGCTCCAGCCTTTTCCACACTCTTTGACCAAGAGACTGGGTCATGCAACAGATCTGACCATAACCTCATGGTCTCCCCTCAATAGTCTCTGTTCAGCCATGATGATATGTGTGTCAGCAGCTCTTTCTGTACATGAGAAACAGTTGTTCTTGACTGACCCATCTCTGTATCTACATAGAAAACCAGAGTCATTCTTTGATTCTCAAGTAATGTGTGGGTTTTTTTTTTAAGCTTTTATTGTGAATTATGTGATAGTTTACATGGGAGAACATTAGCTTTACATTCATCCTATCTTATTTCCTTTCATTGCAATGATTACAATTCCCTACATGTATCATCAAACAACCGAAGTGTACACCCTGCAAGCCTGCCCCCTGGCCATCAACACACAGACCCTTTTTCTCACAGAGTCCAGAGTCCCCAGCTGCTCCTTCTCTCCCAAAAGTACTGTTTTTGAGTTTTTCAGGACAGATTTCATATTTCAAAAGTGAACCTTGTCAAGCCAAGTTAGCCCCTGAATCTCTCCCAAGTGTTAGCTATTCAGCCAAGTTCCTGAAAACCTGGCTCAGGAAGCCGAAACGGCGGGACTCCGCCCAAGCTTTTGTCCTTACCTCTCACCTTCCCCCACCTGAGCTCAGAGGCTATAGATATGTTAATTGAGCCTGAGAAACCAAGTTTCGGGTCTGGGATTCGAGCCAGTGAAGTATGATATAAAGTTACCTGAATGTCTGGTTACTAATGTTAGCTGTATCCTGTTTTAGTCCCGCCCAGCTTGGTGTGACGCATCCCCTAAATAAAACAGAGGCCCGGGCCTCCCCAGGTGTGCATTACGGGTTAGAAGGCATGCAGTAAAGATTGCAGTGCATTACAAGATGGAGGGCATGCAGTAAAGATTGCAGGGCAGTGAGTTGCTGCCTGCAGAGGCCACGATGCCTGTACTCCCAAGTCTGCCCACCAGTGATGTATCCACCCTGGCTTTGGGGTGCCTCATTGTCCCCCTTCTTCTGTCTGTCTGTGTATATCTCTACCGCCGCCAGGTATCTCCTCCTCGTGAACCGAACCCCTATGTCGAGGCCAGTCCCTGACACACGCTCAGCATTTCTCAAACTGGGGGAACTGAAGAAAAAATTCAAGCCTCGACTTTCATTATTGAAAGATTCTCTGGGCAAATTATTGAATGATGCAGAAAGCATCAAGAGAAAATGGAAGGAATACACAGAGTCACTGTACCAAAAGGAAATGGTTAAAGTTCAACCATTTCAAGAAGGAGCATATGATCAAGAACCAATGATACTGAAGGAGGAAGTCCAAGGTGCAGTGAAGGAATTGGCAAAGAATAAGGCACCAGGAATTGATGGAATAAAAACTGAACTCTTTCAAGAAAGTGAGGCGGCACAGGAGGCACTCACTCATCTCTGCCAAGAAATTTGGAAGACAACTAACAGGCTGACTGAACGGAAGAGATCCGTATTTGTGCCCATTCCAAAGAGAGTTGACCCAATGGAATGCAGAAATCATCAGACAATCTCTTTGCTGTCCTATAACAGTAAAGTTTTACTAAAGGTAATACAGAAACAGCTACAACCATACATTGACAGAGAACTTCCAGAGGTTCAAGCTGGATTCAGAAGAGGCCGTGGAACGAGGGATTTCATTGCTGATGTCTGATGGATCTTGGCTGAAAGCACTCACCATCATTGCTGTGTTTGAGCCCATGATTTGCAGCCACTGTGTCAATTCATGTTGTTGAGGATTTTTACCTATTTACACTGATCCTCTACTTTACCAAGTATGATGTTCTTCTCTAGATATTGGTCCTTCCTGATGACATGTCTAAAACAAGTGAAAAGTCTGACCTTCCTTGTTTCTAAGGAACATTCTGGCTATACTTCTTGCAAAACAGATTTGCTTGTTTTCTGGCATCCCATGGCACATTTATTCTTTGTCAACATCTTCCTTCAAAGAGGTCACTTCTTCTTTGGTCATTTTCATTGCCCAGCTTTTGCATGCATATAGAGTGACTGAAAATACCATGACTTGGTGATTATTATATTTGCCGTTAATAAATTGTACATCTGTAAAAAGTTGAACTTCTAAAAGTTGTGTGATATGTATATTTACAATGACCAAAAAAAAAGAGTAGATGCTGATACCTGTCAAAGTTGCTTTATGTACAAAATTCTCATGAGATTTGGTTCGTTGGTTTCAAAGATTTAGGGTGATTGGTTCATGGGACATCCCAGTTAATTGACCTAATGACACCTTTAGTACTTCTGTTCTACCTCCTAGTTCCTATTGTAGTACCTGTGGTCCTTAAAAACTTGGAAGTGGCCAAGTAAGGCAAACTGGAAGGAGGCTAGTGAGTCAGGTACAGGAAGCGCATATGAAATACCTGGCTAATACCTGGCCTCTCTGAAAAACCATCTCCTATGTCAAGAGAAGCAGAACTTATAGAGCCTGGCTATCATTACTGAATATTTTTATCAAAGATTTTTTAGAAGACTCCTGATCAAAAGAAAGACAACACAGAACTGAATTTCCAATTTTCATGGATTGCAGACTTTCTGGAATGATGGGGACTGGGTGAGCCCTTAAAACGACTGCCCTGAGATAATCTTTCGAACTTTAACCAGAAGTATTCTCTGAAGTCTTCATAAAACCAAATAATAGTTTAGCTTAACTAGGAAAAAATGTCTGCCTTGAGCATTATGCTCTTTTAAGAACTATCTGTATGGATCATGACAAATTTTATGGACAAAACTATCCATAAAAATATGACAAGCTATGGATAACATTGCAAAGAATGAGTATTCCAGAATACTTAATTGTGCTCATGAGGAACCTGGACACACAGACCAAGAAGCAGATGGTTGAACAAAACAAGGAAATATTAAATGGTTTAAAACCAAGAAAGGTGTGTGCCAGAGTTGTATTCTTTCAACATCCTTATTCAATCTGTATGCTGAGCAAATAATCCAAGCAACTGGGTTATATGAAGAAGAACGTGGTATCAGTATTGGAGGAAGACTCATTAACAACCTGCGATATGCAGATGATACAATCTTGCTTGCTGAAAGCAAAGAGGACTTAAAATATTTACTGATGAAGATCAAAGACCACAACCTTCAGTATGGATTGCACCTCAATGTAAAGAAAACAATAATCCTCACCATTGGACTAGTCAATAACATCATGATGACCAGTCCCACCATCACCAGCACAGCAGCCAGAGGTACTCTCTTCTGCATAGCCTCTACCTGGGGTCCATCTGGAGGCTTGTGAACCTACCCTGAACTACACCACACAAATATTGACCTGAGAACTGTGTTCAGACTTCCTTCCAGTCTCTATCACATCCACCAGGAGATCGGAGATGAGTGCCTGAGAACACACCAACATACAATCATCAGTTAAATATAAACACAACACCACCCCAATGTCTCAGAAAAAACACACAATTCCAGTTTACACGAACAAACACAACAGAGTGCCTCTAACAAGTGACCAAAATTACCAGAAATGGAATAAGAACTACTTGATAAGGAATTTAAAAGAATATTATTTAGGTACCGTCAATGAATGGAGAGAAAGGTGGATTAAAACAAGGAAGAATTCAGGAAAATTATGTCGAGAACCGGCCTCGACATGGGGGTTAGGTTCACGAAGGAGGGAGATCTGGCAGCGACAGCGACAGATAAAGAATACACACAAAGACACAAAGACAGAGAACACAAAACACCCGGAAACCAGAGTGGATGCGACACTGGCAGGCGGACCTTGCATGCCAGCCTTAACGCATGGCAGCCATAATGCATGCGGGCTTGGGTCTGTGCCTCAGTTTTATTTCGGGGAGGAGCTTTACACAAAGGAAGGCGGGGTTTATTAAGACAGGGTACAGAAGTGAAACATGATTAATCGTTCAACACAGAACACAATGATTTACAGGAATCAAATTCTAGAACATACATCACAAATTGTCTTGATAATCTAACATCCTTAATTTTCCAGAAATTCAAGCAAATTATTACATGGAATTTTTCAGGGTCGAATCCCAGGGTAGCAACTCAGTTTCTCCAGGCTAATTAACATACCTATAGCACCTAATCTTGAATGGGGGAAGGTGAAAAGGATTGAAAGGAATCCTGCTGTGTCGGCTGGCTGGCCAGGTTTGCAGGAGAAAGCAAGATGCCTAGGTGAATGGGCTGCACCTGAAGGTGATTTAAGAAGGCAGTCCTTTTGTTCTTTAAACAAAACCTGGAAGTCACCAATCTACTTTGAGTTAATTCCTTGGGCAGCCTGGCCCCAGCAAACTTGCTTTTGGAAATTTTTACAACCTTGGCTTTAGGAGCAGTTTTTTGTTTTAATATTTGTCCATGGGTAACAAAGGTTCATGTAGTAAGTTAATATCAAACATAGCTAAATAATTTGATGAAGAACAGTTTGGATGAGTTTGCCCAGTGGCCAGAGTCTGTTCCTCAGAGAGATTTGTTCTTAGAACCTTACACACTGCTAACACAGTGGAGACATTGAGAGAGGCACATTAAGAAACCATTTTCTCAGAGGCTGCAATTACAGGGGTTCGAAGCATAGAGTGAATTAATAGGACTAAAGAGAATTATACAGAGCTAGCCCCACAGTGAGTTCGTAAAAGCCAATGACCCGGGACGTCCGGAGGTTACTTCCTTGAGCCCACAGGGTCTCTGGCCAGCAGGTTGGAGTGTGGCCACGTGCTGGAATTTTCGTCCATGACACTGGTCCTCAGCACCCCAATACATGCGGTCTGTAACAAAATAATATGAGAATGAACTGATAATATAAATGAAAAGCTGGAAACCATATAAAAACAGTAAGTAGAAAGTCTGAAAACTAATACTAGGATTTCTGAAATATATAATACATTGAAAGAGCAAAGTGGAATTAAATCAATGGAAGGATGAATTGGTAAGCTTGAAGACAAATCTCTCAATATTCATCTTCAAGAGGAACAATCATAAAAAATTTAAAAATCCAAAGAAAGTCTAAGATTTATGCAGACACTGTCAAGAGGAATAACTAATGTGTGATTAGAATTCCAGAACAAGAAGAGACAATTAAAACCATAGAGGAAACTGTCCAAGAGTTACTGGAAGAAAACTTTTTTAATATCATGAAAGATGAAAAGATAGCCATTAAAGAAGTTAAAGAAACTCCAAAGAGGATAGACCCCAAAAGTAAAATAACCAAGACATATTATAATCAAACTTTTCAAAACTAATGACAAGGAAAACGTCCTGAGAACAGTTCAGGAAAAACAAAAAATGACCTATAAAGGAGAATTAATAAGACTAAACTTTGATTTCCCAGCAGAAACTCAGCAGGCAAGAAGACTAATGGGATGACAGATATAAAACTCTGCAAGAAAAAAATTGCCAACCAAGAATCATATACCCAGCAAAACTGTCCATATAATACGATGGCAAAATTAGGACATTTCCAGATAGAGAGAAATGAAAAGAATTTACAAAAACCAGACCAATCTTACAAAAAACATTAAAGGGAATTCTATGGACAGAGAACCAACAACATCCTGAGACTAGCATACATGACAATATCACTCAGAACTCAACCCATATTTACAAGTATTCAAAATAAAACAAGTGCAAAGTTGGTTTGAATCATAAGGTCGGCAGTTCAAGCTCACCAGCTGCTCCACAGAAATCCTATACAGGGTCGTGATGGGTCGGAACTGACTCCACAGCACACAAGAACAAAAGACTGAAAATAGGGAACCAGAGATAATCCATTTGCAACAACAAAATATAAAATAAAGGGCATAATATAGTTACAAAACTTTCCAATGAAGGGGAAATCAAGTAGACGTCAAGAAAAATAAATAAACCTAGCTGTAGCCCTAAAACTAGACCAAGCCTTACTCTTAGCCCTAGGCCAACCCCAATCCCTAACATTAACCTTAGTCCTAACTATAACCCTAACACTAAATGAAATCCTAGGCCTTGCCTAGACATCACTGTGGTCCTAACCCTAATTTCTTACTCCTACCCACCCTTACTCACCCCATCCACACCCCAAAAATCCCAAAATTAAAAATAAAAAAAAAGACCTCTTCAATTGTTAAAGAGCAAAGATAAGAGTTTGGAGTCTAAAGTGTGCCTGACCCAAGTCATGATATTTTCAATTGTGTCATATGCATGTGAAACTTGGACAATGAGTAAAGAATCACAAAAGAATTGATGCATTTGAATTTTGGTATTGGAGAAGAATATTGAAAGTACCAGAAGAACCAGAAGAACAAACACATCTGTTTTGGAAGATTTGTAGCCAGAATGCCCCTTAGAAAGCAAGATGGTGAGACTTTGTCTGTCATACTTTAGATACGGACTCTGTACAGTTAAGAGTCCTAGGTCCTGGTATTTCTGCCCAACACAAGACTTCTCTTTAAAAGGCAATCTTTGCTTCACAGTTACTGGGTAATTTAAGCTGTTGTGTGGTCTGTATATCTCAGGGTCTACTTGTCTAATCCTGCTTCTTCCCTCTTTGAGAGGCATTTACTCTAATAAGTCTCTGTGTTCTTTTTTGTACTTTGTCTCAGCATCTGTTTACTGGAAGGCCTATCATAATGCACAGATTACTTTTCCAATAACGACTTATTAATTACAAGGACAAAACAGTGTAGCTTCGCAAACATGACCTTAACAAAGTGGACCAAGCTAACAACACCCATGTTGGGCTAGACTGACCATTTCCTGATAGGTCATGTATGGAGGACACACTATCATGTCTGTGGTATTCTGTCTAAAATGTATAGCCTGAGTTTAATCATGAGGAAACATCAGACAAACCCCCAAATTGAGGGACGCTCTGTTAAAAAAAACAAACCTGGCCTATACTTTTCAAGGAGTCCTGGTGTGGTGCTGCAGGGTAATGTGCTGGACTCCAAGGTCAATTTGAACAGCAAGGTCGGTGGTTCAAACCCACCAGCTGCTCCTCGGAAACCCTATACAGGGTTGCTATGGGTCGGAACCGATTTGATGGCACTTAACACCAGGAATACTTCTCAAGAAGATCAAGAAAGAACTGTTCTAATCAAGAAAGACTAAATAGAATGTCCACTAGATGCTTGTTCCTAGACAGAGAAAAACTAAATTATAACAAAAAAATCTATAAAGATCATCTGAAGAAATATGCATATGGACTGTAAGCTAGATAGTAGTATTGTATTCAAGTTAAATTTCCTGATTGTGATCCTTGTTCTTAGGAAATACACAATGAAATATTTAGATATCTCCAGCTTGCTTCTCAAGGAGCTCTGGTGGTTTGTTGTTGTTGTTGTTGTGTGCCGTGGAGTCGGTTCCGACTCATAGCGACCCTTCACAGGGTTTTCGAGGCTGTAAATCTTTACGGGAGCAGACCGCCTCATCTTTCTCCCGCAGAAGCGCTGGTAGTTTCGAACTGCTGACCTTGAGGCCCGCAGCCCGATTCGTAACCACTACGCTAATGGTTACAAATCCGGCTGCTAATCTCAGGGTCAGCAGTTCGAAACTACCAGCTGTTCCGCGGGAGAAAGATGAGGCTTTCTGCTCCGTAAAGAATTACAGCCTCGGAAACCCTGTACAGGGTCACTATGAGTAGGAACCTACTCCAGGGCACATAACAATGACAACAGCTTACTTCCTACTGGTTCATAAAAGTTAGGCATGTGCTTATAAATATTTACACTGAGAATGAAAAAAAACAGAGCGAAAAGGGTAAACTCTTAGTGCATTTTGGTAAAGATTATTAAAAACAAAACAAATCAAACAAGATGTAAACAGTTGGCGCATGTGAGCAGAGTATTCTGGGGTTCCTTGTTTTACTAGTCTTGCAACCGCTCTGTAATAAGATTATATCCAAATAAAATATTACAAAGAAATTGTACACCCTTGCTTGCCCTCCTGCTTTGTTATTTAAAACAAACGTAAAATTTGCTATCTTAAAGTGCACAGTTCAGTGGGGCAGCAATTCTAATATTCCAGTGCACGAATACACTATATTTGATCCTTTTATCAGCTCATGAATATGTGGGTGGTTTCCCAGCTTTATTTTTTTCTACAGCACGCATCATCGTGTATCTATTAATTTAATTAATGTCTGCACCATCCAAAGATGCTCGCCTACGTTCATGGCTGCATCCCAGTACGGAGAGTCCAGCCGGAGCAGGAGGTCCGAGGGGTTTACTGAATCAAGAACTGGCAGGAGCCTGGACGTGAGAAAGGCAAGCTAGGAAGCTCAGGACACAGTAGGAGCCCCTGGGGCTTAAGCGCGAGGAGCACGCACGACGTCCCGGAAGTCCTGGTTAGCTATTGACCTGACTCGGAAGCGCTCGCGCTTCGCCGCCAGTTCCACCCCTGACAACATGGCGGAGCGGTGCGTGCGTTGCTGAGCGCCCCGGACGCCAACTCGTGGGCGCCATGGTCTTCCTCACGACGCAGCTGTGGCTGCGGAGTCGCGTCACCGACCGCTATTGGAGGATCCAGGAGGTGCTGAAGCACGCCCGGGTGAGTGCCGTTGGTTGCCCTCTGCCTGCTGTGTCCCTTCCCCACCTGTCGCGCTGGCCGCTGGGCACACTGGGGCTGTGACATCCAGGGGGGCTCGGTAAGCCCAGGGCTTCCGGATGCTGGCCCCAGAAGCAAACCTCGTTTCCTTTTTTTTTTTTTTTTTCTATCCAGCACTTCCGGGGAAGGAAGAATCGATGCTACAGCTTGGCGGTCAGAGCTGTGATTAGAGCTTTCGTGAAATGCACAAAAGCGCGAAGATTGAAGAAGAGGAACATGAGGACTGTAAGCGTGGGCCCAGCAGAATCCAGCTGCCCTTCAGCCCCCTTCATCTCAGCTCTAGTGCAGGGCAGAATGCCCTCCCGCTCAATTCCAGTCTCCATCTAGGGCTGTCGTTTCTCTCATAACCTCACATCCATTGCCCTAGCAAAATCTGTTTGCCCCTCAGGCAGAATCAGCTAGCCAGAATCCTTGCCCGCTTCACTCCTCACTGCCACCACCTGGCTCCCAGCCACTATCATTTCACCTAGGTCACAGGCAGAGCCAGTCTCCCTACCTCAGCCCAGTCACCAGCCTCTCCAGCTCACATCTCCCTGCTGTGTAGAAACCCTTTGGTGGCTTCCCATGGCACGTGGGGTAAAGACCAAACGCCTGAAAAACCCTGACATTCACCTCTGAGGGGCTTGGATTGTTTTTAGATGCAAGAGTAACAAATAGAGAGAGAGTCCCCTTCTGTAACCACCCTTTTTAATAGATCAGGGGAACAGGTGCGCATGGCTACTTGGAAGCACTGCTGTGCTGTGTTCCAGCCACTGAGTGGCAGCCTTCATTTCTAACATTTCCCTTTATATAAATGTTTCCCATCCTTCATTTCTAACAAATAATGCCTTGGGGCTCTGACCTTCCAGGTCTTTCCTTGGCTATCCACTAGCCTCTGCCAGGTCACATGTTTACAGGGTCTTGGAAGAGACCCTTCACATTCCTTGCCAGTGAGGTCCTCTACCAAGGATCTTTCTGGTCTCTTCCCTCATGATTGTCCTGAAACTTCTGTGTGAATGTTTTGTCTTGTTAGCACCCATCTCAGGTGGTTATAATTACTCATTTACATGGATCATTTGCTAGACCGATGTGGCACTTAGTGTTTGTTTAGAAAATGTGCGCTGAATCGATGCTGTGCCTTACAGCATGTGAATTCCCTACTTAGCATCTAGAAATTGAAGGTGGTATTTGGTGTGAGGAGTATCAACCTTTGCTGAGTAAAAAATACTTTTTTATTTTACCTTTTTAAATATATACTTTAGATCTGTAAGGTCTTTGCTGGGAGATGTACATGTAGTATTCCGAACTAATTATTTGGAACCTTTTTCCTTTCTTACTTCAGCTTTGGATCAATCGAATCACAGCTGCTTCCCAGGAGCATGGCCTGAAGTACCCAGCCTTGGTTGGCAGTTTAATTAAGGTATGGTGAGGACAGAGGTCTTATGAGAAGTCTTGGCTATCTGCAGAAACAGTCACGTGAGGCATGAGTCCAGCGCACGGTACAGCAGGCAGAGCTGCTGGCTATGCCCTGATACTACTTTCTGCACTTGGTAGGACCTAGCAGCCAGAGGGCTCGCAACTCCCTTCTTTGTCCTGCTAGTGGCAATTTAAGTCACGGGCCGCCTGTTGTCCTGTGTGCCTAACCAGGTCCCACCTTTGGCACATTACAAATATCCCGATAGTTTACTTAAGCGTGGTGTTCCATGTTACTGATGGAAACAGAGGCTCAAGAATGGAGAGGACTTCGCTGGAAGGCACACAGGTCCCTTGTGGTGAGCCAGGGCCACCCCATCCTTGCCTGCTGTGTAACCTTTTCCAGCAGTGTTTGTTTGCTCTCTAATGTAACCGATGGTTTTACCTGTTAGTAGACTATCAGCTCGATGCCCCTGAGGGGATGGGGATGCTCAGTATGTGCCTCCTGTCCACCCTCTACATCCGGGCCTTGCACACTTAGTCTGGGTCTCACAAAAACCTTTGTAAAGTGAGGACTGGGTTTTTTTCTTCTGGGTTGACTTAGGGGTTACCCTAGGCCAGCAGGTGCTGTTCTCAGTGATCACTGTAGACCCTGAAGGAGGCTGGCCCCAGGATCAGATCCCAGTCTTGCCTTCCTCCTCCTGTCCTGCAGCTTCCTTGGGGCCCTTGTGTTTGTAGCTTTGCCTGATGTGTCCCCCATCCTGTAAAACCACGGTGCTGACACACCGTACATACACAACAAGCCTTCCTTCTAGAGAGGCAGCTATATGGGATAGCACTGGGTCTGGCCAAGTGACTGTCTGAACTCTAGTCTTTGCTCTCTTCTTTTCCAGTGCCAGGTGGAGCTCAACAGGAAAGTGCTTGCAGACCTGGCTATCTATGAGCCAAAGACTTTTAAATCTTTGGCCGCTTTGGCCAAAAGGAGGCGAGAGGAGGGATTTGCTGCTGCCTTGGGGGATGGGAAGGAGCCTGAAGGTGTGTTCTCCCGAGTGGTGCACTATCACTGAGAGTCCACTCCCATTGGCTGGCTTTCCCCTGATGGTCACACCGACTAACAGCAAGAGGAAAGTTTGGAAGCCAATTTACAAATGTGTATTTATATCTCATTAGTGTGAGAGAATGGTACTGTCTTCCTCCTGTTGGGATAGGTTCACAGACTTGCCTTACAGAGATGGTAAAAATAAAGTTTGTATTGTGTTCTGCTTTGCAAGTTGTGTTTCTGGCATCCACCAAATGGTACCCCGATAGTGCACTTGCTATGGCTTGGCGGGGTGTGCTTATCTTGGGAGTGGCCTAGGAAGAGTACTTAGTGCCCAAGAGGTTCTGGGTTATGGGATACACCCGAGCTTGCTGCTGCTTATTCTCCAAGATAGTCATCTGTAGATTGAAGTGTTTACGGCATGTCTCTAAATGCTGCTCCCAGCTTGGGTGGCCCACTTCACACTTGGCTTCCCAGTTCCTGGAGCTGTATCCCAACTCAGGTTGGACATCCTTGGATACTTCCAGGACAAACTCTTCTGGACTTTGTATGAGTCCCTCTGACTGGATTCCTCATACCTGTTCTTGGACCTCACCTCTCCCTCTCTGGTCTCCCCATTTTCTGCTACATGTAGCAGGTACTCTGTGATCCGCTCTTGAGCCATGCCAGCCTCAGTTCCTCAGCCCCCTCTGCTCACCTGTCCTGCTTTCCCACAGGTAGGCTGGCACCCTCCATGAAGTCCAGCCTAGAATCCCTTCTCAACGAGCTCTCTAGCGGACACAGCCTCACCGCAGCTCTACCTACCCTCCTCATGCTGCCTGTCCCTCGTCCACTTCCTGACCACAGTGAGCTGAGACCACCTTCATGCAGAGATGTCCACACTTTTCCTCTTCCACTCTGGATCAGGCTGCCCTGTGCTCTGATCTCTCACCTGCCATGAACTCTCCATCTTTGTCTCCCTCTGCTACCATGGCCTGCCTTCTTAGCCATGTGACTGTCCCCCTTGCCTTCTCTCCTCTGCCTGTCACTCTACCCATCATGCCTCAGGCTGCTCACACCAAAGCCTAGATCACACAGACACTCCGGCTTTGATCCCATGGGCCACTCAGCTCTCACTCTTTGTGGGCACTTGTCCTCCCCAAGTCCTACAGCACATGTTCACCTGCTGGCCCGGGACTTCCCCTATAGGTGATGCCACCTTTCTCACCTTCACCAGTAGTCATCAGGAAGCCATTCTGGGCCCTTCCCTTGCACTCAGCATCATCTCTCACTGCACAGACTGGTTCTTGTACCTCTCATCTCCAAACTCACTGCAACCACCTTGGCTAATACGTGAACGTCCTTGTCCCCATTCACAGAATGGTTCTGGCCATAAGCATTTGGAAGTCAGGACAGGGGCCAAGTCTGATGCTGTGGCTTTCTGGAAGTGAGCTTGGCGCTGCTCAGTGTACAGTGCTCATCGGTATAGGGTGGAGGTGAACACAACGGAGGACTGAACTCGTAGGTTTCATCTTGATGAAGGAAGGTGGGAGTTGTAGACTGTACCCGCTTTGGCACAGGACCCACATTTTCCTTGCTACAGCTTTTGGAGCTATCAACTTTTGACCACTCTGCTCATCATTGTTCAGGTACAGACAAGCAACCCAGGCAAGGTTGAGAAGAAACATATTTACTGGGGCTTCCAGAAAGAGGGGGCCTGTGTCATTTTCTGGTGTGCTGGGGGCTAGGGGAGATAGGTGAACTCAAACCAGCTTGCTTATTGGATACTCCAGTGGCTTTATTAAAACTGCTGATGCAAGTCTCCCCAGAAGCCAGTCCCACAACTGGAGTCTTCAGGGAGCAAGAACCAATGGAGATCTCTGGGTTTGCATCACTTTGAGTTGGGTGTGATGTCATTGACTACTTAGTGCCTGAAACTACTTCCTGGTCTTTCCCCTACTCTTCCCCAGGCTTCCATGCCATCTTCACAGTGGGCCTTACACTAGTCCTAGTGAATGTGTGGGATGACTTGTGTAGCGTTATCAATTGCAGCATCTGTTCATTCCATGAAGTATAACGGCAGCACTGCCGCTGGCTGACCAGAACTAGGCAGGGTCTTGCATCTTAATAGTGACCAAAGGGAAGAAGTCACAAATGCACAACCCCTAGCCAACGGCTCCCCAGGGTTCCATGGGTGCCTGGACTCTGGCCTGACTCCTGCTGATCTCTTTGGCCTAGCAGCCTCACTCCCTCCATTGGAATCCCTTGAATTCCAGCTGGAATCTTGGAGAACTACCTTCCACCAAACTGTCAGGGCCTTTACGGTGGTGTGCTGGTGGTGTGCTGTGGACTCATAGTTACCCTGCATGGGGTTTCAGGGGCAGTCCATCTTAATAGGAGCAGAAAGCTTCACCTTTCTTCTGCGGAATGGCTGGTAGTTTCAAATTGCTGACCTTGAGGTTAGCAGTCCAACTACCAGAGCTCCTGAGCGTATGTTTCCATTCAGTCACTGATCCATCTCTCTTCCCGTGGACTGAATTTTGAAGATAACTTGGTGAAATTGCCTGGTGTTACTTCTGTGTCCCGAACCCTTGGAGTTAGTAAAGTTTGATGAATAATGACCATACCAGTTGCCCTATTAATTCTGGCAATTTATCCGTTGCTGCATGCCAGGTGATGGGCTACAGGGCGATATACCAAGCTCTATCAGATTCCTGCTAGGAAAGCATCCCACATTTCCACCCTCCACCATGCTCTTGTAGTGGTTACGAATCGGGTTGCTAATCTCACGGTCAGTAGTTGGAAACTACCAGCTGTTCCTGTGGGAGAAAAGATGAGGCTTTTTGCTCTCGTAAACATTTTGTTGTTGTTAAGTACCGTGGAGTCGGTTCCGACTCATAGTGACCCTGCACAGGGTTTCCGAGGCAGTAAATCTTTACGGGAGCAGAACTCCTCATCTTTCTCCCGCCGAAGGCTGGTAGATTCGAACTGCCGACCTTGAGGTTAGCAGCCCGACCTTGAGGTTAGCAGCCCGATTCTTAACCATTACGCTACCAGAGCTCCTTTGTTGTTGTTAAGTGTCTTTGAGTCGGTTCCGACCCATAGCGACCCTGCACAGGGTTTCCGAGGGTGTAAATCCTTACGGGAGTAGAAAAGCCTCATCTTTCTCCTGCAGAGCGGCTGGTAGTTTCGAACCGCTGACCTTAAGGTTCGCAGCCCGATTCATAACCACTACGCTACCAGAGCTCCGTTACAACCTCAGAAATCCTGTACAGGGTCGGTGTAAGTTGAAACCGACTCCACGGCACATAACAACAACCATGCTCTTGACAAACAGGAGGCAGCCTCCTAGAACCCATCCCAGCTGAACAGAGCGGGAGGGCCCTGTGGGGATGGCAGATTGGGGGTCGTTCTACTTGACCCAGCCGAGACGGAACTCAGCCGCCGGGACCTTTCCGCTCCGGGGCCAGAGTGGGAACGCCCGAGTTTTCACGTCGCAGTCAGAAGAGAGGCCCAGCCCCAGCTCGGGTCTCAGCCCCAGGTTAGGCGCGGCTTCCGGGTTAAGGCCGCCTCGCCCAGGAGCCGCGAAGCCCCCTGGGTAACGAGCCCGCCCCCGCTCGCGCGGATTCCTGGCGTCTGCGTCAAGCGCGACGCTGATGGGCGGGGACACGCAGCCAATCACAGCCATGCACAGCCGGGCCTCCTGTAGGCCGAGCCAATAGAGCGTGGCGAGGCGGAGCGACGGCCGTAGAGCGTCGTGAGGAGCCGCCCTGCCGGGAAGGAGCCGAAGGGAAGTCGGCGGCACAAAATGGCGGCGGCAGCGGCGACGGCCGCGGCCGGGGCCCCTGGGCCTGTGGTTCCTGCTGCAGCGGCTGGGGTTCCGGGCGCGGGAAGCGCAGCTCCTGGGTCTCAGGGCGTGCTGATCGGGGATAGGTTGTACTCCGGGGTGCTTATCACCTTGGAGAACTGCCTGCTGCCCGACGACAAGCTTCGCTTCACGCCGTCCATGTCGAGCGGCCTCGACACCGACACGGAGACCGACCTTCGCGTGGTGGGCTGCGAGCTCATCCAGGCGGCCGGCATCCTGCTCCGTCTGCCGCAGGTGAGGTTGCTGCCTCGAGCTTCGGGCCGGTTAACTGCCGGTGGGCTCCGGCAGAGGCCTGGTCTTTGTTGGCGGCCGGGCTGGGCCCAGTGCACCCCCTCCCCCGCCCTCTCTCGGGAGCTAGGCGGCCGATCCTTTGTGGGAAACGGTTTGGGCGTGGGTTCTGTCTTAGGAGAAAAATCAGGCCCGGCGATTTGCGTTTAACTGTGAAACCCTTTTAAGTTGAGCGTTTAGAAATAATGGGAAACTCCTTTTTCAGGTGGCCATGGCTACCGGGCAGGTGTTATTCCAGCGGTTCTTTTATACCAAGTCGTTTGTGAAGTATTCCATGGAGGTAAGGGTCTTTTTCCTACAGGGAAATACGCTCCGATGAACAGGCGGCCTGGACCCGCCTTTCCCGAATTCCCGAACCTCTGTACCTCCTTCCTGTTCCTCCTCCTTTTCGTTCTTTGGCGGCTTCTTGGGAGCAGAACCAACACCTGTGTCGCCTTGTTTACCTTTTCAGCACGTGTCGATGGCCTGCGTACACCTGGCCTCCAAAATCGAAGAGGCTCCACGACGTATCCGGGACGTCATCAATGTGTTTCATCGCCTCCGACACCTGCGAGAGAAAAAGTGAGTCTTCCACTCACGTTGTCAGTATCTCTCCTGGTTTTTATGGCCCAGTTGTAACAAAGCTCGGGGTGAGGTTTTAAATTGACAGCTCATCCAATAATCCAGACTAAACCCTGGTGTCCCGTCATACCAGGCCCCATGGCTACCGTTTTGCTGGAGATGGCTTCCTTGTTTGCCCAGGCCCTGTCTTGTTTACTACATGTCTGAGCGCTCGCGAGTAGGGAGTGCCCATCTTGACACTGTGGGTGTCTGGGATTGGATGATGGGGCAGTGTTGCAGGGGACTAGCCTGTCTACCATCTGGTGTTGAGTAACGCCCCTACTCCTACTCAGTAAGTGCCAGTGGTACCCCTCAGTTGTTAAGTGCCATCAAGTTGGTTCTGACTCATGGCAACCCTGTGTAGGGTTTCTGAGGAGTGGCTGATGGGTTTGAACCACCCACCTTGTGCTTACCACAGTTCAGTGCTTATCCTACAGGGCCACCCTGGAACCCCTCAGTTGTGGCAGCCAAAAATGTCTCCAGATACTGCCAATTGTCCCAGGGATGTCAAAATTGCACCTGGTTGAGAACCAAGTAAAATGCATCCCTGACTTTGTACTCCTAATATAGGTGGAATTCCTCTGGGAAACTCAGCTTTACCTGTGAATTGTCGCTCTTTCTTCAGTTCTTTAGTTTTCCAATTCAAACACGTAATGTATTTAAGTTACACTAAGTACGTTAGCTACTCTGTGCTGAGAGCTGAGCCCCACCACTGTTAGTTGTCAGTGCCATCAAGTCAGTTCCAACTCATAGTGACCCTGTATAGGGTTTCCAAAGAGTGGCTGGTGGGTTTGAACCGCCAACCTTGTGGTTAGCAATCCAGTGCTTATCTTACAGCACCACCCTAGTGTTTAGTTGGTGTTTATTATGCTTATGGGGGAACTTGGCTGAGAGTAGGGCTAGTTAGCACTGAATTTCCCTGTGTTTGTTAACAGGGAGTGAAGTTCTTTTTTTTTTTTTAGTCATGTCTGCCTTGTGTCTTTAAGTTTTCCCTTGGGAGTTAATTATAGGATTTGAAGGATCTTGTTTTGTTTGACCTTATGCTGGTTACCTGTTTTGTCTTTGTAGGAAACCTGTGCCTCTACTGTTAGATCAAGATTATGTTAACTTAAAAAACCAAATTATAAAGGCGGAAAGACGAGTTCTCAAAGAGCTGGGCTTCTGTGTGCACGTGAAGCACCCTCACAAGGTGGGTATGGGGTTCAGTGTGCAGTGTGCGTCTCAGCTTTCTCCATTTTCACAGCGAGTCAAGGCTCCAGAGAGGATTGAAATACCTCCTTGGCTTGGATTCTAGTTTATAAGCTCAAATCATTCTTCATCCCTTACCTTGTGTTAGCTCCTCATTTTGATAACATTTAAAAAGGTTATGGAAATGACATCTTTTAAGTTTGCACTTTCAGTGACAAATTTGTAACAATTAGACAGTTTTCTTTCTCAACAGTTTGTTATATTCTGAAGTTGTGTCAGGAATAGCTTTCCTTTCTGTCATGAGGGAATGGGTAGAAGACCGAACTGAACTGAACTTGTTCTGCAGCGTATGCTATTTTCATTGCTGAGATAGCTCCTGTGTTGTATTTGAACAGCATGTGTTGTGACAAAAGATGGCTGTCTGCATCTTTTAATTCACCTCTCCTTTTGTTGGTGGGTTATCTTGTATCCCTTTTATTTACTTTGACTTTCAGCATTGTTTCAAATACTTGGTTAAATACCAATAGATTTAAATGTTTTTCTTTACTTGCTGAGAGTTTTCATATTGTTGGTGACATCGACGATTGGGATGCAGAGATGTTTGGGGCAGGCTAATATCACTGGTGGAAAAGGTATTGAAGACAAGCATGGGACTGGCCGTGAGCAGAAAGCCTTCGGCCACAGGGTTGCTTGTCTTCACCTACATGCTTGCTGCCAGTCGCCAGAGCAGGGAGCAGGTGCGTCAGCAACGCTCACCTTCACTGAGCTGTCGCCGGTGTGACCAGGATCTCAGTCTTTGAATCTAGCATGAGGCTCTAACTTGCTGCATGGACGCCCCAGAGATCTGAGTGCTTGGTTCTCAAGATGCACGGTAATAACTTCCTGACCCGTATCTTCCAGATAATCGTTATGTACCTTCAGGTGTTAGAGTGTGAGCGTAACCAACACCTGGTCCAGACGTCATGGTGAGTTGATTTTCTTTGTTGTTGGGACCAGCAAGGGCAGTGTCATACTGTGTTCGTTTGAGGCCCTTTGGGCAGTGGGTAGTCAGGCCTGTGACTGTGGGCTGGAGTTGTCTGGAGTGCCCAGTGCTACTGCTGTGTAAATTCCAGTCAGCTTCCCAAAATGCAGGCACTGGCCTAACGGTAAGGTGGTCTCTCCCCTCCCGTCCTTGGCCCACCAGAGGTCTTCCTCAAGGAAAAGTGGAGACCTTAGGTATCCAAGTTGACATGGTGGTCTTGTCCACTGTGAAATGGCTTCCCTGTGATAAATCTGGGAGGCAGAGGGGTATAGCTAGAACTGAAGCCTGGGGTAACAGCTTAGGGTTTGGGGTGCCCTGGTGAATCTTTCTATGGAGTTAAGTCTGTAAGGGTCATATTTTTGCTGACTGAATTGTCTGGTGCTATGATGTATTTAATAGAGAACCCATTTTGACTTTTCTTTTCTGTACTCTTTCAATCAAAGGCCTCTGAGGGTAAGTGACTAAGACTTCTCCTCTGCTGTCCAAGCGCTTTGGTGCAGGACAGCGGCCGTCTTCAGCCAATCCAATGCAGGCTCTCCACAGAAGGCTGGCTCTAGACCGGTGGTATGCCAACGATAGTATAGTAATGGCCGCTGCTGCGTGTGGTTCTCTGGGACTGTGCTTCTTGTTCATTTTCTGTTCTGCCTTAATAATGTACTGATTATAGACTTGATAACTGTCTCAACTTGAATTTTGTCCCTTTAAAATCATGCTGCACCTGTATAATAAAGATGCAACACCTTTTTCTGAAAAGAAAAAGAAAAAGGGGAAAAAAGGGTGGTGTGGAAAGCCGTAAGAATGGAAGTGACCAATTGGCTGATGGGAACTCTGATGGGCAGTGTGGGGGTTGTGGCATTGTTTCTGTTGCTTTTCCCAGCAATGAGGCACTGCTACTCTGTGGTAAAAGGTGTGCATCTTTAAATGATCCCATGATACTTTGTAACTATTGTAACTATTTAAAGTAGAGTTTATTTAAATACATGTTTTTGAAGACTTACTTTTTAGGACTTATAAGTTAATGGATCAATCTTATTTTTACTATCTGATAACTGGAGTTTTCTATATTATGATCAAAAATAATCACTACTGATGATTGTGTATAAAATGTTGGAACCATTTATTCGCAAAGTTGTTCCTTGGTCACCTTTGGGGTCCTGAGAGGGCATTCAGAACTGATGCTGATGGTGGTGCCGGTAGAAGTGACTGTTTAGAAAGCTCTGAGTGGGTTTGTATCATATATCCTTCAGGGATGGGACCAAAGGTCTCTGGGGTGGTGGGCAAGAAAAAGGTCCTGGGCCTGGTCTCATGAGTGCAGCCTGACTGGAGGGTGGCTGTAGTGGGGTATATTAGGAGCAGTAAGTCCACGGCCCTCTGACAAATGCCTATTCAGTTGTTTCCTGTGGGATTAATCCCATTTCTGCAATGTTGATGGAGCTAGTATGAGGTCTGGTTTTGGGCTAGTAAATTTTAGAGCAGTATATCTAAAGTAAACTATTGAAAATACAGTCAATTTAAAACCTTTTAACTTTTGGTAACACATATTTTATTTACATGTTTAAAGTACGATAAAGTTCTCCAAATGTACTGATTGTGATGAAACTTTTAGTATTTTGTTGTTGTTGTCTGATTTTATGAATGTTCCACTTTAAGACTCCTTGTTGCAATGGGACAATTTGGAAACAGTTCTTTGATAAGGCTGAGAAGAAGACTTCCTTGGGGTGCCAACCCTCCTGCAGGATGTCCCTGTGCGCCTGGATTGCACCATGGGTACCTTCTCCTGAAAGTGGACTACCTTTGGAAGCTGTGCCTCTGTCATCAAGTGGGCAGGCTGCGCGCACCTTGGAAGATGGACCAGAAGAGGACATTGGCCCCAGAAAAAGCCCCCCCTGGGCTAAAGCTTGGACCCCTTCCTTTGAGTTTGCATGTTTCTCTGCACTGTGGATTTTGAGCATTTAGACGTCTTTATTCAGATGCATTTTAACCACTACAGTGGACATTTTCCTTCCCCAGGCATTGTGCTTTGCATGAGAGCAGGCCAAGACTGAGGGAAAAGTGAAGTTAAAATTGGTTCTCTTTCATAGCAATATGTATTGTCTGACATTCAGCCAGCTTTTTTTTCCCCCCCGGTTATGTTTTGTTTTGACATATAGTTTCTCTGTCTCCCTGTCCTGTATACAAAAAGAGCAGCTAGGATGTTTCTCTAGTAGCTCTTGAGGCTCCCCTACTGCCGTGCCCTCAGCCCTGGCAGTAGAGTTCTTAGAGAGGGGGAGCACCTTGTCTAGAGGTAGATGTGCGGATAGAGGGCTGGGTATTGGTTGCTGTAATGCCCCTGCATTTGCCTTTCAGGAACTACATGAACGACAGTCTTCGCACAGACGTGTTTGTGAGGTTCCAACCTGAGAGCATCGCCTGTGCCTGCATTTACCTTGCTGCCCGTACGCTTGAGGTCAGTCCTTGCCTACAGATGCCTGTGTGCGCTGCTTTTGATTGCCTCCACCGTACCACTCAAAGTCCACCCTCAGATACTGAAAACATTCTTGCTGCCTGCTGTGCCAAAAAAAAGCCTAACGCGGTGTTTGTGCTTACAGATTCCTCTGCCTAATCGCCCCCACTGGTTTCTTTTGTTTGGAGCAACTGAAGAAGAAATCCAGGAGATCTGCTTAAAAATTCTGCAGCTGTATACGCGGAAAAAGGTTCTTAAAGTGACCCATGTATTTTGTATTAGATGAGAAGCCATCTGGCTTCTAGTTCTGAATTGGTGGTGGTGGCTCTTGCAGGTGGACTTAACACATCTGGAAAGTGAAGTGGAAAAGAGAAAGCATGCTATTGAGGAGGCAAAGGCACAGGCGAAGGGCTTGCTGGCTGGCAGCACGCAGGTTCTGGACAGCACATCTGGGTTCTCACCCGCCCCTAAGCTTGGTGAGTGTGGGAAGCACAGAGCCCAACCCCTCATCTAAGGGAACAGGCCTTCCCTTAGAGCCCTCTTGGGATTGAATCAGCAGCTTGTTGGAGCTCTCTGCATTCAAAAGTCAGGCTCTGATGACCTCGAGAGACCTTATGAGGGTATGGGGGGAACCCTGGAGGGGAGGGAAGGTACAGTGTTTCTGTGTTCATAGCAGAGGGTGTAGGCAACCTTCTCCTGTTTTCCATATCCACCCCAGGAGCTTGTCCTTTGATTACGAGTTTATAAGTTGAGGGCAGTAGGTTGTACTGTCAGATCCTAGGCCAGGAGCAGAAAGTCCTTGTCAGCGTCTGTCCCCTGGAATGGCCATGTCTTAACTTTGCCAACTCTTATTCCTTATTAAAATGGTTTTCTTTTGGTTGGATTTTAACTCCTTGTACTTGATTCTTATAGAATCCCCCAAAGAAGGCAAGGGGAGTAAGCCCTCTCCGCTTTCTGTGAAGAATACCAAGAGGAAAGCAGAGGCTTCTAAGAAAGCCAAGGCCGACAGCCCAGTGAATGGGTAAGAACATGCAGCACATGCTGCCTTTGTGACTGCTGGGGGCTGGTTGGGAGGACCCCACATCTGACTGTCATTCCCCTCACAGCTTGCCGAAGGGGAGAGAGAGTCGGAGCCGAAGCCGTGAGCAGAGCCCCTCAAGGTCCCAATCAGGGTCCGCCTCCCCGAAGAGGAGGTATGTACTGCTTGGCTCACCCGGGGCACAAAGGGGTTCCCTGTGGAGTGGGGGCTCACATCTCCATGAACCTATCGTGGTGTGTCTGTGGGTTCTGATTGAGACAAATGGTCACCAGAGTGGTGGTGTCTCCTTCCTTCCCCTAGGAAAAGCGACAGTGGGTCGACATCCAGTGGGTCCAAGTCCCAGAGCCGCTCACGGAGCCGCAGTGACTCACCCCCGAGACAGGTGCGTCCTGGTGTCCCATACAAGGGCTCCAAGGTGAGGAGCTACACCAAGTCCAGGGACTGCAAATACCCTGCCCAGAAGCCTCCAAAGTCTCGAAGCCGGAGCTCATCCCGTTCTCGAAGCCGCTCGCGGGAGCGGGCAGAGAATCCTGGGAAGTACAAGAAGAAAAGTCATTACTACCGAGAAGAAAGGCGGGAGCGTTCTCGGTCATATGAGCGAACTGGCCGCCGCTATGAGCGGGACCACCCCGGGCACAGCAGGCACCGCAGGTGAGCCCGGGGTCTTGTAGTGGCTGCTGGCAGCTGCTTCTCGGCGTGGAGTCCTGCCCCCAGCCCTGCCACGCACCTTGTGACTGTCCTTTCCGCATGGCTCCCTTTGGGAATGCCATCAACTCTTCGGACCTTGTTATAAATTGGAAGGAGGTGGAATTGGGAGGGCAGTCAGGTGCCCTTACCTGGATGGCCTGTGCACCTACCCATGACCCTGCACTCAGGTGTGAGGTGCACGCCCCTCTGAGCATGGGACACCCCCAGCCTGCTGGCTACTGGCAGGATCAGAAGCGTGCATGGTGATGGTGATGGAGCTCGGTGCTAATGACAAGCTGTCTCCTCTCCCCAAATTGACGCTCAATTACGTTAAACCAAGAAAAATGATTTTCAGAACCTTTGCCTATATTAGGTTGTACTAATGTACATATTTTGCGGTGTTTAACAGTACAATATGAGAAAATGGCCTTAATAGCCCCTATTCTCTGTCCATGTTGTAAATAAATGTGTTTAATACAAGTGAAAGCTGTATATGAAAACTCATAATTTGGATTCTGTCAGCTTGAAACTTGTGTAGAGAACTCTTGATTTTTAAAATGTGAAGGTATTTCGATCTGTGTTGAAAGTCGTATATTTTTATCTGTGCAATGCTGTGTGCAGGCCGCCAGCTTCCTAAATAGAGAAGTTTCCTATATATGCATTTTATGTGGTTTAAATAAACAATTCTCTCTACTCAGGACCTTTGGAATGTTGAAGGGTTTGTAGTTCTCTGCTCGCTTGTCATGACTGTGGCGAGCACAGCTGACGCTATCCGTTTTAGTGGTACGTCCAAGCTGTTGCCGCCCCATCTCATTAAAGTGTTGGCTTTTGTACTTAGATGTGTGTGCCTGCTCTTATGTGGAGGATGGTGGGGCCGGGCCATCTGCTGTCAGGGGAAAGGGATCCTGACATCCAGAGAAAGGAGGGTTTGAAAACATGCCACAATGATTCAGCCTGATGAGCGTGGGTGTGCGTCCCTGGCCAGGAGACTCCTATCTGGCCTCTGGCCCTTTCTTGCCTGGGCACTGGGGTAATGAGCCAGCACCCCTGGTTGGGGTCGTGTAACCCATGTATTGGTTGGTCTAACTTGACAAGGCATAAAAATCAGGAGCAGCATAAAACAGGTTCCTGTGAGTTGGAGATCCGACATACCTCTGCTCTCCAGCTTCATTTGTGACAACTGCTTCTGCCATGGTAGCACTCACGTGGCCACACAGAACTCACAGACTATACTACATGGTTTATCAGTGATGTTCCAGGATACAACTTCGGATCAGGATCAAATCGGAGTAACAGGAACTCCAGTGGCCAGTTGGACGTGACTCCTCTGCCAAGTGACTTATCTCCTCAGTTGTCACCCCGGGGCCCCTGCCATCAGCCTGTCTGCCATCGGCCTCAGTGCTGCTAAGTGGACTAGTAGGCAACCACATGGCTCTGCTCTACCAATCCAGCTCTCAGCATCTCTCTACCATGTGGCCTTTCTAAGGTCTGCATTTATTTAGCCTTTTTTAATCTTGATCCTCATTCGTTCCAAGGCAGGACCTCCCTTACCTGACCAGAATTCAAACAATCCTCAACTCCCCGTGAGATGGCAATCAAGTCTTTATTAAATTACCAGGAAAAAAATGATCAAATCAGGGTGTTAGTTTACTCAGGAAATGAAGTGTTAATCAAAACTTCTGGGGTAGAAAAACAACTCAGGAGCATCCTCCCACCTCCAATTGTTTCTTGCAAGAATTAGGACACAAGTAACAACTTCAAAACCAACCAAACCAAATTTACTGTCTTTCAGTCGATTCCCACTCAAAGTGGCCCTATAGGACATGGAGAATTGCTCCACAGGGTTTCTGAGGCAGACTACATCTTTCTCACGCAGAGTAGCTGGTGAGCGGTCAGCCCACTGCACCACCAGGGCTCCTTAGACCAGAGGGGAAATCTCCCAAGGTATTTTCCCAACCAAAGCAAAGACCACATAGAGGAACTCGACAGCACAGGTTGACTTTCCAAGGCCTTTCATCATTGAACGTACCTGGAGAGAGGTGCCCAGAGTCAGTCACAGTTCCACCAGCAGTTGGTCTGGGCTGCCTGTCGTCTCCTGTCACTAAGATTGGGATGTGACCCTCAATCTTCACTTGGATACCCTCAGCCACAATTACAGACAGATGATACACCCAGCTGGCCATATCCCCTCATGGCTTAACTGAGCTTTCTGCTTGGCCAGCCTCAGCCTGGCCCAGTGGTATTTGAGGCTTGGACCTCACTGGATCATGCGTGGGTGCTCCCCTGTGCCAGGAACTGGGCTTACGCATGTCTGACCTTCAATGCCACTTCCTTCATTCCCGCCTTCAGTCACTCCACTTGTTCAGCAGTGTGGCCCAGCTGGCTGCAGAGCACTGGAGTGGAGTGAGTGTGTGGCCTCACCAATGACCTCACTGGGCCCAAGATCTTCTTTGTGGGTTGCTGGTGCTGGCCCTGAGCTGGTTTGGCTGGCTTGAAGAGCCCCAAATTCTCTAGAACTGACTGCCATTTGCACTTAATTAGTCCTGCTCCCCTCTCTGAAAGTGCAAGTGTGTCTGAGCTAGAGAGGGATCTCGTAGGGAGTGGGTGTGAGGACTCAGCCTCCACCTTTGTCCCACAGGGGGTTGTGACCACAGCCGGAAGAATCGGGGACTGTCCCAGCCCAGCCAACCAGTCTGGGGCCTGAGACACATACCAGTTTTGCAGCGCTAAAAGATTGAAGTTGTCAAGGACTTCATTCTTCTTGGATTAACTATCAACACTCATGGAAGCAGCAGTCAAGAAATTAAATGATGTATGGCATTAGGCAAATCTGCACAAGACCTTTTTAAAGTGTTGAAGAGCAAAGATGTCAGCTTGAGGAATAAGGTGTGCCTGACTCAAGCCATGGCATTTTCAATAACCTCATATGCTTGCGATACCTGGACAGTGAATAAGGAAGACCATAGAAGAATTGATGCTTTTGAGTTATGGTGTTGGAGGAGAATATTGAAAGTGCCATGGGCTTCCAGAAGAACCAACAGATCTGTGTTGGAAGAAGTGCTGCCAGAGTGCTCCTTGGAGACCAGGATGGCCAACCTTCCTCTCATACTTTGGACATGTCTGGAGGGGCCAGTCGCTGGAGAAGGATATCATGTTTGGTAGGTAGGAGGGTCAGAGAAAAAGACGAAGACACCCAGTGAGATGGTTTGACAAAGTGGCAGCATCAATGGGCTCAAGTGTGGCAACAATTGTGAGGTTGGCCCAGGACTGGGCAGTGTTTCATTCTGCTGTACACAGGGTCACTATGAGTCGGTATCAACTCAATGGCACCTAACAACAACAAATACTTTCCTGGAGAGATTAGAATTCCTTTGAAGTAGAAAGTAGCTCTTCCACTGTGGTCTTCTTCAGTTCTCCTGGTCTTTGTGGAAGAGTGATCTTTCTACTCTGCTTTAGGCCTATGCTTAGCAGAAGGCTCTGTTCTTGCCTCTATCTGACACCTCCCAGGTGGTCCTGTTGCTCACACAGATGCTCATTAACCATCAATGTGACTGCTGCCCACCTCCCTCAGGATCAGGATCTACACAACACTGGTGACAGGACACCCAGCCGGGAACCTGCACGAATTGTCCAGGGGAGTGAGCAGTCTCAGATGAATGGATCCTTTTAGCCTGGGGACTACTGGTGTCCAGGGGAGCCTAACAAATCTCAACTCTTCTCACCTCACCTCCCTGAAGACCAGAACTTGGCTAGGTTTGGGGACAAGAGGAGGGAGTACAGGGATGCTTATCCTGCCCTCCAAGACTTTATCACACTGAAGTTTCATTTCCATGCACCCCCATCAGTCACTAATTCTCAGGGGATAATCGGTATGGCACTGTCAGAAGCACTGGATTGCTAACCACAAGGTCAGCAGTTCAAACGTACCACTTGCTCCGTGGAAACCCTAAACAGGGTCGCTATGAATCAGAACTGACTCAAAAGCACTTAACATCCATCTGTACCTCAACTCTTCAGAAAGCTGGGAGCACAGCTTCCACCCCCTGCCTGGGTGCCTTCTGTCCTGCTACAGTACTCTCTCTACACAAGCACTGGCTGGCTGGCAGTTGGCCTGTGTCTGAGGGGCTCTGTTTATCCTGGGAGCTGGGTGTGTGAGCTCCGACATGGGGGCACCAAGGGGAGGGTTGGGAATCTCTAGGGCAGCCCATTGCTCACTTTGTGATTGAGCCATGGCAGGCCGGAGGCCTGTGGAGTTGAGGTGAGAGAGGGATGGGCTCATAGAACATGTTCAGACGTCCTTGCATGGGACCCCAGGGTAGCTGCTGTAGGAGGTGGAATACAGGAGACATTGCTCAGGGTTACCTTGTGACCTCAGTTGTAGGGTTGATCCTGAGGTTTCTGTCACAGACTGGTCTAGCTTTCCTATTGGCTTGGATGAAGCCTGGGGAATGATCCTACCTGATCACTTCCTGCCCAGACCTCCTGGAAGATTCTCCTGTAAGGTAAGGCCTTATTAGCAGGCCTAATGGGGTACCTCAATAGCAGCCCCTTTCCACCTCCCTCCACACCAGCTACCCCTGTAGGTCCCCAAATCCATTCTGGGGATTCTGTCCATCCTAGCCAAATTTAGGGAGAAAGACAAGTGAGGCGTTCAAGAGTAGAGAGGCAATTACTTCTGTTTTTCGGACAATGTCGAGTTTGAGTTTTACTTCCATAGTTACGTTATGGGAGAAACAGGAGCTTGTTTGCTTTACAAAAGGAAAAAGCCACCAATATAAAAAAGCACTAGGTATGGGGCTTCCTTCACTTATAGACGCTGCCAGGCCAAAGGAATGGGGGTTACCTCGACTGTCAGTCAGCAGGTGGGCATAGACACCCTAAGACCCTGCAGGAGTCACTTCCACCGGGTGTCCCTAGCTCTGTCCCCAGTATACCCAAAATCTGCTTTTTCAGCACTCGGCGGACCATGGGCAGCTCCAGTGTCCGAAGTGCATAAAGGGAGGAATAGGGGCCCGGAAGATTGGGCCAAGTCCCCATCAGGCATCTGGGGTCTTCACCATTCACCCAGGAATGGTCAGGGGGAGGTTGGGCTGGGCAGACCTATCACCAGGTCCCCTCGTTTCTACCCCATGCTACTCTACATTTCTGTCGCTTAGAAAACGCTACTTCCACTACCCCGAGAATGCCACATCCGCCTTCCTTGGTGTTGACATCTGTAAGGGACCAGATTTCTTTAAGTAGAAACGCGTTGAGAGTTCGGGCGACGCAGGCGCAAACAACACTCCTTGGGGTTTAGGGGAAATGAAAGGGAGGAGGAGGAGCTAATGAGCTAGGGGTGGGCCCGGAGGGGTGGGGTCTCCTGCCTTGCGGAGCCGAGCTCCGCTAGGACGCCAGGGGGCGCTGGGCATAGGAACCTCCGGGCGGCCGGACGCGGGGTTGGGAGCCGGTTTGGAAACGGACCGGAAGTAGCTGAGCGCGGCTGTAGAATGGTCAGTTTGCTTCCCATGTCCGGCTTGGGTAGGTTAGGCGGGGGTCTCAGGGTAGGAGAAACCGTGGTGTGCAGGCTCGGGGGACAGCTGAGAGGGCCTTGGCGCTAAGCAGCGCGAGCCTTGCCCGGACGGGACCTGTCTCCCGAGGCCTGGGGTCATCGCTCCCGTTGCGGGGTGACAGTCCTGTCTCCCGGTGTGTTCTCGAGCCGCTGCCGCCTCACTTTACGGATTTGAGTGTCTCCGCGGGGTAACAGGTTCAGGGTGGGTCAGCAACCCTCCGGAAGTTACGGGAGAATGGGAGTTGAGTCCAATCATATGAGGGGGAGTGAGATGAATTTGGAGTATCCTCATGGTGGGCTGCGGGAGTCGGGGCAGGACCTTGGTTCTCCATCCTGGCTTGCCTGGAATTGTTAAAGGTGCACCCGTTTGACCTCCCTACGGCCACCTGTGTTCCAGCTCTCCTGAGCACCTGAAGCCACCGCCGCCCACAGACAATGTTCTTGGTGCGCCTGACTTCTCAACTGGTCCGGGCTGCTCCGCGGTCAGGTAAGAAGATCCTTCTGGAGGCAGATGGGCGGGACACACACCTGAGTTAGAAACTTGTAAGGCCTTGCTCTTGGGCCTTTGCTGAGCCCTGGGAACGCTAATATCGGAATATCACACAAAAGAAGGAAGTCTGGGTTCCAACATTGGAAGGGCTTTCAGGGCAGGACTCATGTGCGGACCACCCAGTGTGCAATCAGGGCAGATTGTGGCGATTTCATCGGTCACTTCCATCTTGTTTCCCGCAGGCTGTGGTCGGCCTTGGCCTGCTTCAGGGGTGCTGGGCGCTCATGCCTGTAGGCCCCGCTATAGCACGCAACCGGTGGGCCCAAGCAGAGCTGCCTTACTCCCTGGTAGGGGGACCCAGCTGGAACTGGAGGAGATGCTGGTCCCCCGGAAGATGTCCATCAGCCCCCTGGAGAGCTGGCTTACAGCTCGCTGTCTCCTGCCCAGCCTGGGTCCTGGGTCCTCAGGGACTGTGACTCCTACGAAGCTCTACGAGTGCCCGCCTAGCCACACGAGGGAGGGGGTTGAACAGGGGGGAGAAGGGGCCTTGGACTTGCCCCAGATACACTGTAAAAACGTGCTGAAGATTCGCCGGCGGAAGATGAACCACCACAAGTATCGCAAGCTGGTCAAGAGGACTCGTTTCCTGCGGCGGAAGGTTCGGGAAGGGCGCCTGAAACGAAAGCAGGTGAGATTGGGGGCAGTGGGGAGGGCTGGAGGCTACTCCAGCGCCCAGGGAGGGCAGGTGACTGAGGATGGCTATATTGCCACACCCCAATTATGATCTCCCTTCTGCCCTTACAGATGAAATTTGAGAGAGAGTTGCGCCGCATCTGGTTGAAGGCTGGCCTGAAGGAAGCCCCTGAGGGCTGGCAGACCCCCAAGATCTACCTGAAGGGCAAATGATTGTTTTTGCCTCCTCTCTCCCATCCACCGCCATTGCTATTGATAATGCATTGCAATAAATGTTCAGAGAGCCCACCTTTCCCCAGGCTGGCCTGGAGCCTCTGTTGCCTGGGTCTATTGTGGAGTGGAGCCTGGTGCCAGGCTCTGGCTTTACAGGAGTCTTCCCAGTGTGGCAGATTGGCTGTCCCTTCTCCTAACTGGCACTTGTCCTGGTGCTAGGAGCAACCCCACAGGCTGCTGCCTACCCTGACAGTGCTGGGAACAACAGCTTCATTGCTCATGAATGTCTGCTATGCGCTGGGCCTTGGCAGTCGCAGCAGAGCCCACATCAGCCTTTCCAGGTGGCTGCAGACTCACCCCATGTAGAGAGTGGGTCAGGATTTAGGGACTCCTATGTGGAGCTCTGGTAGCGTAGTGGTTACGAATAGGGCTGTGAACCACAAGGTCAGCAGTTCGAAACTGCCAGCTGCTCCATGGGACAAAGATGAGGCGTTCTGCTCCCGTAAAGATTTACAGCCTCGGAAACCCTGTACAGGATCGCTGTGAGTTGGAACTGACTCAACGGCACATGACATGACATGTGGAGGTAGGGCCAAATTCTTTTTACATGAGAGTAAGGGAGGAGCAGGGAAGACTTTGGTAACCCCCACAGATGATGTGCTGTTGCCTGGAGGCTCCATGACTTGAGCTTTGAGTAGCTTTCTTAACCATCCTGCTTTTCTGGCTCTGGATACAGGCTGGGTACACCACAGAGCCAGGCAGGGGGTCAGCAGGCTGCTGGCCTACGTAGGCACCTCCGCCCAGGTCACTTGGCTGCTGTTGGCTCCTTGGCTCCTGCCACTTCCTGAACTCCTTATGCACTTGGGAAAGTTCAGGGTTGGATTAGCTGAGGGTGCCCACACTGGGGAATTGGAAAAGCCTTGGAGGTTCCTTGCCCAGAGTTTAGTGTTACTGTTCTTGGGTTAAGAGGACTTTTATCACCCCTGACAGGAGGGACTGGGTGAGGCTGGGCCTGCAGTTGGAAGCTTGATCTTGTTCTTGGCTGTCTTCACCCAACCTGGTTCCCTAGCGTCTTCCCTCTGAGTCATCAGGTGGGAGACCATATGCTGCCCCCGCCCCCGGGGCATGGGCTTCTCATCGTTTGTCATAGACGTTTTTGGACCTGTCTCTGTGAGGGTGCCGGAGTCTCCTAGCAGATCATCTAACCTGGCATGGAATGGGTTCTTGGCAGTTACCTGCAGCGTCACGTTTCAGCAGGGTCCTGTCCCTACTTGCCAATCACTAGGGTTCCTTGACACCTTGGAAAGGGTTCACAAAAAGGCCCTGGGTGGTGACCTGAGAGGACCTGGAGACAAGCCTTGTCTTGGAGGGCAGCCATCCTTTGGGGTGCCTAAGGTCATGGCAGGGTGTCTGCATCTTCCATAGACGGCCACCAGGTGGCAGCAGCCTGGCTCCTGACTGAACCTGGGAACAGGCAAGGGCTCATTCAGGGTCACAAGTGCTCTTTCTGCATCTTAGTGTCCCCTGCTGTGAGTTGGGCATGAGTAGATGCCAGGCCCAGCTTCTGGGTAGGTGGTTCTTTTTTTTTTTTTTTTTTAATGCTTTATTGTGAATCATGTGATAGTTTATATGGGAGGACATTAGCTTCACTTTGATCCCGTCGTATATCGTTTCCTTGTTTCCTTATCATGGTTACAATGCCTTTCATGCATCAACCACCAACCGAAGGGTATACCCTGCAAGCCTGTCCACAGGTCATCCGCACACAGCCCCTCTTCCTCTCCAGGTCCAAAGTCCCCAGCCGCTCCATCTCCCCGCGTCATCGTCTCTGCCTCCATCCCTGGCATCTCTGTTCTCCGCTCTTCTCCCTTGATGGTCCCAGGGACCTCCGCTCCTAGACTGCAAAGCTAATCACTCCCCTCCCTTTGCCACAAAATGTCTATTTTTATATTTCCAGCCCTTACAATCAATCCTGATAACAATTATTCACTATTGTATTAGCAAGAGACCTATCTGCAGCCGCATCTCCTTTCATCAGCCCCAACTAGACAGAATGTATACTACTCAGTGGAGATTCTACCTTCCTCCATGCCCTCTGAATCTAAGTTCCCTCTTGAAAGTTTGTAAGCGAGTCACTTCTTGCCTCTGTAGCCCCCCCCCCCCATTCTGGGTGGCCAATGTCCAAGTTGCCCATCCCTGTCCTCTCTGTGTGTGGAGGGAGTGGGAATGATCCTCACTGTGAAGATTTGTTCCCTCTTTTGAGCTACTGCATCCATAGGTGTAGGTCAAGTTCATCAAATTGTATCAGATTATTCTTTTTTCTCTCTTCTGATTGAGCACTGATCATCCAGTCATTGAAGCCAGGTCAAGTGGGTATTATCTGCAAGTGTGGGTGTACTTATGCAGGTGCCCTCTCTTCTTATCTGCTGGACGCTTCACTCTCCACTCTAGTCCTCTGTGGCTATGTCGCTGACTCTGGGTTCAAGAGTCCCCTGGACTTGCCACACTGCTGGTCAACCAGGTCTCCATCTGGGTTCACAGAACTCTATTGAGCGTTGTAGGGCTTAGCTCACAGCTTCATTGCTGTTTTTCCTTCACTTGCCCTTATCAGTGACTGTGGTCATCAATCAGAGCGTGTATTCCTGTTGAGTCTTAGTCTTAGAAGGGGGTTTGCCCAGAGGGGAACCCGACCACTTGCCTTGATGACTCTTGGGTGAGCCACTTGTTTGTTCTTAATCAGTCGGTCTGCCTGTATTGTTTTGTATTTTTCTTGTCAGTCTTTCTTTCAGGAAGTATCTTCTGTTCTTCTGGCCACTCCAGGCTGGTATGCTTGTCCTTTCAAGTGGAAATCTCCCCTCAGAAGATTCTGGATGCTGTTCAGGATTCCACCTATGATCTTGTGTAATGCAGAGGCTCTGTAGGAAACCTCCTTCATTGGGTACCTTGTGGCCCCATTTTGGGTATTCCAATCAGTTACAGGCAGAAGACAGACTTACAAGTTTTCTATGGTGGTATTTCTGGCTATTCCTTTCTCTCCCCCTCCAGTGTCTATTTTATAGTGGTATGCCAGGGAAACCAAGATTCATAAGACAGTCAAGAATGTTAACATTATTTCCCCCCCTTTCCCCATTCAAACCATGTCTCAATCTCTGAATCCCAGAGCCCTGTTGTTCCAAGGTTGTGCAATACATCATTTGCCTCTGTCCCACTTCAGCTTCACATTCATCCTATCGTATTTCATTTCATTGCAGTGATTACAATCCCCTCTACGCATCATCAACTATCCAAAGGATTACACCCCACAGGCCTGCCCCCCGGCTGTCAGCAAACAGCTCCTCTCCCTCCCTGAGTCCCGTGTCCCCAGCCACTCCATCTGTCCTTGCCATCATCTGTCTCCACATCTGGCCTCACTACCTTTCTGGGTAGGGTCACACTTTCTGCTCTTCTCACTTGATGGTCCCAGGGACCTCCGTTCCTGGGCTGCAAAATCAATCAATCTCTTTCTTTTGCCAAAACAAAAAAACAGGAAAAAGAAAAAAATCTGCGTCTACATTTCCGACCCTCACAGTCAATCCTGGAAGCAGGTATTCACTGTTGTATCACAAGAGTCTTCTCCCCATTTCCTTTTGTCAGTCCAGTCCCAACAGTTTGGAAATCATTCAGTGGAGGTTCTGCCTATCCCTGCTTCGTCTGTAACTAGGCTCCCTCTTGAAAGCTTGCAAGACAGTCACTTCTTGCCTTTATAGCCACCCCTCCCCATTTTGGGTCTGGGCAGTTTCCAGCACCCCCCCGCCCCCAAGATATTCTAGTCAGTTATAGGCTGAAGATGGGCTTACATGTTTTCTGTTGTCATGTTTCTGGCTATTTCCCCCACCACCTCAAGTGTCTATTTCACAATGGTAGGCAAGGGAGACCAAGACTCAAAAGACAGCCAGGCATCCTAACATTATTCCCCTCTTTTCTCCTTTCAAGTTATGCCTCAATCCCTGTATGCGAGCCTGCCTGACTGTTCTCCCATCCGCCTTCTTCTTTTCTTCTTTTTCCCCTCTCCCTTCTTATGTGTTGCCAGTCCCCCCCTCCCCCCCCTTCCAGCTCCCAGGCTCTCCTGTGTCTATTCCCTTGGGTAGGTGGTTCTATGTCAACCCATTTGCTAGCTCCTCCTGCTACCCTGCTGACTCCATCCGCCCCAATGTGGGAGGGGTTTGTTACCAACCGTAGACATCCAGAGACAACGTGTGGTGGATGAAGGCTGCTGTCTCTGGGAACTTAGCTGGGTGGCTGCCCAGTGCCACCGGGAGAGGACAGACCCCACAGTGCAGGGCACCCCTCTACCCCAGTGGGAGGACTAGGAGTAAGCTATGGCCTTGCAGGCTGGTCATCTGCTCCAGGGCAGGGGTTGACAGTTGTACTTGTTACCAAAGGAGGTACCTTCGGAATCTGGTAAGTGGAGGCCAGGGGACTGGCCACCCAACATCCAGGACACCCCATCAGTCACCTGGCCAGCCCCAAAGCAGCAGTGCCCTTTCTGAGACCTTGCTGTGGGGAGGGGCTGTGTCCTGTCAGCTCACAGGCCCCTCAAGTAGGCCACCCCTTGCTCCTTACCATGGCTGGACATGTGCTGTAAAGCCCCTGTTTTGGAGTTCAGAAACCTTTGCGTCAATTGTGACCTCTAAAGGCAGTCGTGGCCCTCATTTTTACCTCTAGACCCCTCCTAGTCCTTTCCCCCACCTGTGGTCTCTTGCGGGGGTGGGGGGGTCAGCTGGTCCTTGTCCATTTGTCTCCTCCCTTGCTCTGTCCCCTCATGGGCCCTTTGTGCTCTGGAAGGAGGAGTATGTGCTGTGGTTCAGGCACCCTCCCCCCCCCCGCCCCCCCCCGCCCCCCCCACCAACTTAGCTTTTAGTTAGAGTGGGTTTGGCCATGCCAGAGCTGGTAGTGGTGGTTCTGGGCACACACTGGGGATCGTGATTTGGGGGCAGGTGGGGGACAGCGTCTGCATGACT